TATTTCACAAAGATCACAGTATCAAAACAATTAGGTTTACATTAGCTGCAGCTATGAGCAGCTATGAGCTGTCAAAGCCCTCTCGATTGCAAATTAGGTGTAGAGACTGGGGTTAGAGACTGACTTAGTCAATTTAGAATTTTAGAAGAATTTGAGCTTAAATCTTTTTTTTTTTATCTTCAGCTTTTTTTTTAGCACTTGTATCCATACTCTGTACTGGCAAGTAATAAAATATCAGTACTCTTATTCAGTTATAAGACATCTTGTATCAGGAAATCCATAATTTCATCAAACTTTGTGCAGCATCTTAGGATCACTAGGATCACAGCAAGTAAACCAGAACCTTAGCATAATGCTACCACACCTGAAATCTGATATAACACCTGGGGTCTGATGTTATCTATACTATGGCCAGTTAGTTTGAGGCTTATTTTGTCTGACCATAAAGTTTTTCACCAAAACTGTGGTATCTGAAGGTTATACTGTATACATTATAAACAGACGTGTTTACATCCCTGGTACAGGTTCATTACAAGCTTAACCTAACTAGGAGGCAGAATCCCTTTGCTGTAACATTGTAAATCATGAGGTCTGTGTTTGCACAAGCAAGGAGTTGAGAGCATATGGGACCCTGGGAGAAGATTTATATCTTGGGAACATTGCGGGTTAGGATCCATTCTAACATCGAAGCTGTAGTATTACAGTATTACAGTATGCATACAACTTTGGGATTTCTCTGACAATTCTGACAATGAGTCTGATGCATCGATAAGTGATTCTAATATAAGCCTGACTAAATAAATAAGTCTGTGTCAGAAAATGTGAAAAAGGTCCAAAGGTGAAAACAAGACCCACCACTTACACTTCATGGTTCTTATCATGTGCAAATCTATGACACCAGCCAGAAGTTTACCTGAAACATGTTAAGGAAAACCATGCGGTTTCTTGAAACTTCATTATGGATTTTTATTGCACATAACTGGCCATAAATAGATCAAGTGTTATGGGACAATGCTTGTTAGCTTTCTAGTGATATTTCACACATGATACAAACCTTTGGGAACTACTATTATTAGCAGCTGTTTTTACAGTCATACCAATAAACTTAACTTAGTAAATAAACTTTACTTAAAGCAAAATCTCAGATTCTTTGAGTGGGGTGAAAACCAGTCTAATAAGGGAAAAACTATAAAAAATGTTTTTCAACGACTTACATCAAACTAACATATCCTGGCACATAAGGCTTGATCAGAGCGTTTGCTTGGGTGAGCACCCAACCGGTGGAAGGTTACATGAAGAGGCACACCTGCTATACATTTTTCACTGCTTGATCTCATTATCATCAAGAGTGTTATAGCGGCAGGACTGACAAGCTGCTGCCTGCAGCAAATTTTAAAGAATAACACTGACATATACGTAATTAGTAGGCACAATTCAGAGGACATTGATAGAAAAATAATGTAAATCTAGAAGAAGGTTACTGTATGGTACTGTAAGTTAAATTTAAATTTCATTTACGAAATGCTTTTTTACAGACCCTAGGAAGTCAGAGTACAACAGTGATTCTAGAAAACTACAAGTTCACTTGATATTTGGTTATCTTGCTCTGTTTGGTAAACTTAAAGACATGGTTGTACAAATTAAAATACTAGATGTTTTGTACATTGATCAGTGTGTTTTAATAAGTGAATGTGCCATGGGTAAACAAATTATTACATTTACTTAAAGTCCAGGTATTTTTGACCAAGAAGGTAATTCTTTCTCAATAAAGTCTTTACAAAACAGCTCCAACAGCTGAAAAAAAAAAAAAAACCATCTATCCATTTTCTGTCACGCTTTATTCTAGCTGGGGTCGCAAGGGGTGCTGGTCCCTATCTCCATCTGTCTACTAGCGAGAGCCGGGACACATCTACAGCCTATTTTAGTTGTAAAATGCTGTCCATGGTGCTGATCCTAAAGAAGGCTCATAGTGGCAAACTAGGGATGGAACGGTTTATAACCGTCCGAACCGTTCGGTTCGATTGACTCGGTTCGATTCGCGTGTGTTGCCCACAGTTCATGCGCTGCTCCTTTTTCTCATAGGCGAAGCGTGTACATTCCAGAGCAGAAGGTGGCGGTACTGTGACCACAGCCAACCACCAGTAGTAAACAAGAAGAAGAAGCGAAGCAGCTTAGCTGGGTGTAGCAGAAAAAAATCAGTTGTTGTGGAGTGTATGAGCGTGTGGAGTGTGTGGGTATGGTGAGTGGGAAAGAACAGGAGTTGGAAGACGCGCCAGCAGCACTTTATAGGTCTGCTGTATGGGACCACTTTGCATTTAGAGTGACCTACAATGACGGCGGAAAGAAAGTTGTGGATAAAAGTGCAACGGTCTGCAAGCATTTTGCAACACGTTTTGTTTATGCTAACAGCAACACGACCAACATGTCAGGCTAACAATCAACGTATACCGAATCAAACCGAAAACCGTGACCACGAAACCGTGAACCGAACCGAACTGAACCGTGGATATTGTGAACCGTTCCACCCCATGGCAAACTGTGGATGTCCAGTTTTCCTGAAACTCTTTAGTTTAACAGTTATTTTGGCTACGATATCTTGCTTAGAGTAAATATTGCTACAGCATAGTGTTTCTACGTATTTGACACATTAGTTTATGTAATATGATTCATGGCAAGAACTTTTTGTACTTTTGGCCACTTCCTATGCTATACCATGCCAACACACTGTCTGCACTGATGAAGATTTACTTAATTTAGTCTGCTGACAAATTTAAAATGTTACAACTGCAAAGCAGTATAACCTATAATTTGATTAATCCACTTACTTTTCAATTGATACCCCTTTGCGCAGTAACACAGAATACAAAATTTTCCGCGGCAAATACAACAGCCTGCTCACCTTACTGTGATATCATATAGGAGGAGCTTATATCGGCTAGCTGATGTTTTGGTTGTTCGACTCCACATGGCATCCAATGATAGCTTATTGTTAGCAAGTGACGTGTCTCAATAATTAGTAATAATAAGTTACACAACTTAGGCATACCATAGCCAAATAAAGCTAAACCACAAAGATCAACACCAGAAGTGTACTTTGTTACCCTTATTTCAGGCAATAGTTATTCACATCCCATTAAACTAAATCAAATTATGCTTAAAAGTGAAGAATAATGAAAGGGGTGATTAATGTGCATTTTCTGCATCTTGTAAAAGTATTAAAAGCAAGATTGTGACATTTCAGCATGTCTCTTCTTCCAACTGTAGACTTTAATCCAACCAACCCTTGCAAAATTAATTGATGCCACACATTTTGGATGTGTCATTTGCTCTTGTTAATTTGATATCCAATGCTGTTACTACGTCCTGAGAGCTTGCTAAGATTTTTGTCCTTTTGACAGTATCAAGCAGCAACAGACGTCCTCACAGAAAGCAGAGCTTTGAGCGTATGAACCACACATTATGAAGCTGCTGCTTAACTCAAAGACTACAATTCTAATTCTGAAGCAAATTAGGGTTTTAACAATAGCTGCTAATCAGGACTGAGTCAAAATTCAATCCATTATGAGGGTTACAAGTGACCAAGCTCCAAACGCTTATGTTCGAAAATGTAAATCAAAGCCTTCTTTTTATTATGCATCATGAACACAGGTCTCAGATGTTTGCTTTGAGGAAAGTTAAACATTACTGATACTACGACTCAAACTCCAAAGGTGTGTATACTACTTGACAACTACTGGAGCTGATCCAGCAAACTGTTCAGTACCAGAGGCATTTATAAGGAATCTTTATACAACCTTTGTGTTCAGCAGTAAATTGTGTTAAGCACATTTGTTCTCAAAATAATACATTTAATAAAAAAATAGGTTAGATCTACAGTTGTTTGCAAAGGATTTTATACCTCTTGAATGTATTTTGGCGGTATCATGATAGACTAAAGATAGACTAAGAAGAAAGAAGAAAAAGAAGACGTGATTTCCAAATAAAAGTTTGTAATTTGCATTCATTTGCAATTGTAAACAGCTCCCTTTACTCTGAGGGCCCTAAATATAAATCAGTGCAATCAACTGCCTTCAGAAGTCATCTAATAAATTACTAGATACCACCTGTGAATAATTTAATCGCAGTAGAAATCCAGCTGTTCCCTGTAGACCTCAGAGGTTTGTTGCAAACGAACACCTCCGTGAAGACCAAGGAACACAGTGTGAGAAACAAAGTTGAGGGAAAGTTTAAACCGAGTTATACTTATTTAACAATATCAACATCTGTTACCACCAAGAGCTCTTATCAAGCAACCACCTGGAAAAGAAACGAGTATGGTGTGTTTATGAAAGAAGATCCCAGGAAGTACAAGGTGAGGAAGAACAGAGATGCCCATACCCTAAACAGACAATCAGGGTTGTAACTAAATGATTTGGGGTGTTCAGATGTTAAAATGGTCCAGAGTCCGGCCTTTAACCTGTTTACAATTATTGAGAATGCTTGAAAGTTTTTGATCACAGATGGTTTTCATACTTTTTGACTGTGTTTTTGGGGTGTTTTGATTAGAAGCATTGACCAATCTATCAGTCTCTAAACAAATATTGACTCAGAGGGCCTGAATGCAAAGGCACATCACACTTTTTGGATATTTAGTGATAAAACAATCTTCAAAAATGTATACCAATCTACTTTTACCTTGCTGTTGCAATAATTTGCTTTTATGTCTCAAGACTTACAGAAAAACACATATTGCGGCTGAAACATGGTCAAATGTGAAAAGGCAAAATGTATGAATAGATTTGTAAAATTACATGTTTTGTTTCTCACTACATGTTTGAATTTAATCTCAAAGAGAAGGACTCTTCAATAAAATAATTGATAAAATAACAACACAACTTGTCCCAATATTTCACTGCAGAATTTCAGAGTAAGAAATGTCAGGATATCCAAAGCATCACCCAATAAAACATCAGTAGCCTTTGTAACCAAACCCACAAACCAGGCACATTTACACCACATACCTCCAAAATCAGGCCTGAGACGGATATCATATCCCTTCAGCAACTTGTCCACGGTAGTCTTGGCCACAGACATTCCGCTGCTTCCGGTGGAGGAGCTGTAGGCAAAAACCACAAGCATAAGAGTCTTTTCTCAATCAATAAAAGCAGGGTTGTGTCATTTCTGGGACAGTTTGTATCTTGTAAAAGCACAAGGTTAGGTAGAAATTTGAAAAATGGTCACACAGCACCTCTTTTTAAGCATTAATGCACAGAGAGGTAATGTTTCAGGAAGGGGATATAATACCAGGAACAGAAAGTCTTTTTTTATTTTATTCTGACATAGCAACGCATGTGTCTGCTTTTATGCTTTCACTTATGAGTGTACTCTAGTTCACTTTTAAGGTTCTAAGCAGTTAATATCTTGGCATAAATAACAGATTAGTTCACCCCAGAGCCAATGATAATTGGTTATTCAGAAGAATTTAGGGCCAATAAGAAAATCATGTCTAACAACTTCAATCTCGACAGTCTCAAAGCCGTTTAAGCCAATACTATATTATTGACCTTTTAACCATTTTTTGCACTGGATGGTTCATTACACAGGAAACGGTTCCATAAGGTGGTGCACCAACAATTATTTTCCTATGTGAAACAAATAAGGTTAAAAAAAAAAGGTGAAGCTGGCAACAACATCTAGCACAAAAAAACTATTAATCTAGTAGAATACAGAGAAAGGTTCATTCAACAAGCTTACAGTAAATTAGAGTTTCCACCTCTACATGATCTATTCTCAGTATGCGATTTAAACACAACGATCAATGGTGAAGACCTGCCTCTATTTCCTGGGTAAATAACAATCAGCCTCAATGCAAATAATCAGCCGTTGTAAATGTGACAGTGATTTAAGGGTTTATAAAACAATGTGTTCCTAAACTAGCATGATGATTTTTTTAAGATTGGAGTTATTCTACAGATCTTGAATTCCATGTTAGTCTCTCAAACTTAAATTAGCCATAATTTCAAAATGAAGCTAGTCTGGATTTATGCTAAATACAGAGAACAATCTATTAAGATATCCACTAAAAATGTGCTTCAAACATCATTGAGTTGTACTTCTTAAGATCTCAAAGTAACAATTTAGAGCTATGGTCAAATTAAGGTGTGCTGTGAAAGCACTTCAAATCTGGGGGAAGGTTGAACATTGCGCCTTGTGCATTGGACCAACCTATCCTGCACATCCATCTAATCAGCTGTAGAGATGTTCTGATGGCAGTAAATCTGTCAAGTATTTCATTACTGCAAGACCTTCAAAACGGATGAGAATGAATAGCATTGGAATATTAACCTTATCTAAGTATAAAAAAAGGAAAAACGAAGCCTTCCAGTATGATGTCAGCTTGAACCAGAGTATGTACATTTATTCCCTGATATTCAGGTCTGACTAACTAATAATATGGAGTGACATGACCTGAAACCTCTAAGATGGTCCAGTTCTCCACTCAATATTTATCCCTACAATGAAGGTGCAAACTGAATGTTGAGGAAAATCCAAAAAAAAAAGGAGGAACAAGGGCTGTCTGAGTCATGGAAGCACCCTTTTATTAACTCACTTTGCAGCTGGGTGTTTTCAATCTCTGGGAAAATCAGTGCTGGGTAATATGAGAACCACCTTTCATTGCAGATCAGGTATCAGGAAAGCAAAATATGAAAAAGTGCAGCCTCAGTCCCAAGGTACCTTAAATCTTTTAACTGACACCGTAGAACGTTACGGACAAGGAAACAGAGTAGGCCACAAGGGATGTACATCAGTGTCTTCAACATCAAAACAATAAGGGAGCTGAGTAGCAGATTCTGGGTGCAATGATGTTCTGAGAAGGCTTGTGCAAAAAATGTGTGCTGTAAACATTGAAAGGCCCTGACATGAGCTGATTTATTAAAAGGCTGAAAGCTTCCCCAGCCTTCCATCTGGAGAGCTACAGGGAGAGACAACCTGCAGGGATTCATTTTTTTCCCTCAATTCTGATTGATTTGGTTCAGTTCACTGAGGTGGGCAATTAGAACCATTAAATATGCATTGATATTACTTCCACATCTACTTGTTTTACCTGTTTACTTAAAGATCCAGCTGTTTACCATACTATAATAAATCATATCATCCTATAAATATTTTATGTGTGTAGGTTATTTCATCCCTGACTGTACGCCAAACACATATGACTTTTCCTCATTTGGACATCAGGAAAAGGTTACATTTCCCAATTGGCTCTGTATATTGCACGCGCGTTTTTTACGCTCGCGCGTGACGCACCGCTGTCTAATGGAACATATATCGGCAGCGGTGCCCCTATAAGCAGGCCTGGGTACCCCCTTAATGCGATTTCCCAAATTTCAAGCTCTAATTAAATATATTGATGGACATTTTCTTCCAAATTGAGATTTCCTTACCTTTGAACAAAGCATAGGAATGACAAAGCCGCCAAAGCAGAGGAAATTCCACATATTTTTTCTTCTTGACGACCCAACATCTCCACGAATCCTTATAGTTCCTATAATCCAACCAGTCCAGTGGTCCTCCCCCAAAACGCACAAACTAAAAGCAGGCAATTAAAAAAATAATAATAATTGCCCTTTTAAACCAGTCAAATGAACTCACCTACATCTACTCATGCAATTTCTTCATTATAAAGGACAAAACAAAAGAAAAATCTGATATTTGGCCCCCGCTGTTTTCCCTCAGCTATGGAAATCCGTGCAGGTCACAGAGTCCCTCGACCAGCACCAGAAGATCAGACATCTTTGCTCGAATAAAAAAGAACAGCATACAGGATACTTTTAAAAGTGATGACAAGTCCAGTTGTGGGGGGAAGGAGGGGGGGAAAGGCAGAAAAAAAGCAAACACTGGCATGAATGGCTGAAGCAGCAGCCTCCTGACAATCAAATCGGTGAATAAAAATCCCCAGTCCAGATCTGCAGGAGAGGCATGGTTCCAGCGACGCTCCGGGCGCCAGTCTTTGCCCACAATGTGATGCTGTTAAAGGATATTTGACTGAGCTGAAAGCTGCGGTCGGCTGATGTGTATTTGTGGGGTGTTGGAGTGGAGTGGGGTGGGGTGGGAGGGGGGCAGAGGGGGGTGGGGGGGCGGTGGGTTCAAATAGAAAAGAAAATGAAATCTTGATTCCTTTTTCTTCTTTCTCTTCTTCTTCCCCCCCGGTTGCTGCTGCTGCTGCTGCTGCTGCTGATGTAGATCAACGCAAAGTCACTGAGGGGAAAATGCACATTGAAAAAGCGGTGGGTGATATCTGATGCAGACGTCAGAGCTGCCTATATCACTCCTCTAATGAAGGAAAAAAAATTAAAAACTACCTGCAGAGAAATATTGATTTTCCCTTTTTTTACGCACAAATATGCATAAAGTGCGTTGGATTATATTAAGCTATTTGAAAAGTACTCCTGCCTCCTCTGGCCGGCGATCACTGGCGTTTGGACATGTTAGTATGCTCCGATCGTCCAAAATGACATGACAGAGGAACCTTGTTCGTTTCCTTAGTTTAATTTAAAATAACATCCAATAAATAGTGGGGGACACCTAAGGTGAATTCCTTAGCGACAGGATGTTCAATAGCTGAATGTTCTGCCTTAAAGCCATTAAGATGCTGGGGGTGTGCTCCGGTGTATTTTCATGCGTTTCTTCCACTTTACTACATTCTTACAGCACGCACACGCTCACACCAGGCACGCACTAGACACGCGCCTACTTCCGCTGACAGGCGCGCGCTCGGGGGACAGGAAGAATCCTCTGTTTATTCTGATGTTATGTTTACGCGCTCTTTTGTCGTCTATTTCGACCAGAAACACCCTTACAGCAGGCTGCACATCAACGATCACAAAATCACGCAGGCTAGAGTTTTAAACACAGGAAGGAGGTTTTCTTGAGGGATCTCTGTGCTGTCCAGTTGCTAAGCAACCCAGCCCAGCAATGATGCAGTTGTGGTGATTCGGAGACTCTGCGCAAAGGCTCACTTAAAGGAGCAGAGCCGGTGCGCTGTAAGAGCGGCGATGTCAGTGGGACAAAAGCAGACGATAAACCATGGAGCCAATATCGTTAGAATAAAGGGGGGTGGGGGTCATGTAAAGGAAATTTGGCGCATCGTGGGGATCGTACTAATTCTGCTTCATCATCACCCTGCTCCTCCTAATCATCCCTGTCATTCCCACAAGGACTGTGGTGATGCAAGCCACTTAAGCTTCGCTTTAAAAATCGCTAATGATCTGTATTGCTGCCTAAATGATGTGCAACGAAAAGAATAATAAATGTATTATGTTTCACAGATGGTGTCACAGAAGAGATTCTACCATTAATTTTGCCCTGGGAAAGACCACACACACACACATACACATATATATGTATACCTTTCATACATACACACACAGTTTATTGTAGTTGTTGAATCACTCACCCTATCCTACTCTGTTATAGAATAAAATTATCTAAAAATGCTCAGGGCCTATAGTTTTTTTTTATACAAACGATCAAGTGTACTAGTTGCCACTAAATACACTTTAAACTGTTGTTATATCTCTTGTCCTAACAGGTAAATAACCCTGCAATATGTCTGCTGCTGTGCAGCATTTTTCAGCAGGCTCAATGCTATTAAAGGGAGCAGAATTTGGACTCTAACTACTTTTTTGTCTCCAGTGGTGTTTTAGGGGGCAATAAAGTGTTAAAAAGATGCTGACAAACCTTTGGTTCAGTCAGGTTTTCTTTATCCATTATCACTGTAGCTGACTTAGAAATCCTATCTGACTTAACTCATAGCAGTCCACAGAGTCGAATATATATATCACAAATGTTCCCTTTTTCCTGCAAGCTCAGGTCCTTTTGCGCAGTATCTTTGCTGTTCCTAGAATGGAGAAGGAGGTAGCACACAACAGTGATGCACGGTGGTTTGTGGCTCTGAGAGAGGACCTCAGCAACCTCCCTGAACAGAATCTAGTCAACATCGCAATGGCAGACAGCCAAGAAAGAGTATCAGGTATGAAAAACTGGACAGCACCAAGCCCCAACATGATATACACCTACTGGCTTAAGAAACTCACGGCACTCCATGAATGTTTGGCAGCACAAATGTACTAGCTACTGAGAGATGGAAACCACCCTGAAGGCTATACGAAAGCCACACAATCCTGATCCTGAAGGATCCCTCAAAGGGTAACGTCCCCTTCAACTATCACCAATAACCTGCCTGTCCACAATATGGAAGCTCATGTCTGGGATCATAGCGGAGATAAGCGGGCACATGGATCAATACATGAGCACAGCTCAGAAGAGAATCGGTAAAAATATCAGAGGTGCCAAACATCAGCTCCTGGTAAACAGAACAGTCGTTTGAGACTGCAGAACTCGAAACATTAATCTGAGCACTGCCTGGATTTATTACAAAAAATCCTATGACACAACGCCACATACATGGGTCATTGAATGCTTGGAGCAATACAACATCAACAGGACTCTAAGAGCCTTCATTGCAAACTCAAAGAGGTTGTGGAAAACCACCCTTGAGGCCAATGGCAATATACTTTCACAAGTCCATCAAATGTGGCATATACACTATATTGCCAAAAGTATTTGCTCACCTGCCTTGACTCACATATGAGCTTAAGTGACATCCCGTTCCTAATCCATAGGGTTCAATATGACGTCGGTCCACCCTTTGCAGCTAGAACAGCTTCAACTCTTCTGGGAAGGCTGTCCACAAGGTTTAGGAGTGTGTTTATGGGAATTTTTGACCATTCTTCCAGAAGCGCATTTGTGAGGTCGCACACTGATGTTGGACGAGAAGGCCTGGCTCTCAGTCTCCGCTCTAATTCATCCCAAAGGTGTTCTATCGGGTTGAGGTCAGGACTCTGTGCAGGCCAGTCAAGTTCATCCACACCAGACTCTGTCATCCATGTCTTTATGGACCTTGCTTTGTGCACTGGTGCACAGTCATGTTGGAAGAGGAAGGGGCCAGCTCCAAACTGTTCCCACAAAGTTGGGAGCATGGAATTGTCCAAAATGTCTTGGTATGCTGAAGCATTCAGAGTTCCTTTCACTGGAACTAAGGGGCCAAGCCCAGCTCCTGAAAAACAACCCCACACCATAATCCCCCCTCCACCAAACTTTACACTTGGCACAATGCAGTCAGACAAGTACCGTTCTCCTGGCAACCGCCAAACCCAGACCCGTCCATCAGATTGCCAGATGGAGAAGCGCGATTCGTCACTCCAGAGAACGCGTCTCCACTGCTCTAGAGTCCAGTGGCGGCGTGCTTTACACCACCGCATCCGACGCTTTGCATTGCACTTGGTGATGTATGGCTTGGATGCAGCTGCTCGACCATGGAAACCCATTCCATGAAGCTCTCTGCGCACTGTTCTTGAGCTAATCTGAAGGCCACATGAAGTTTGGAGGTCTGTAGTGATTGACTCTGCAGAAAGTTGGCGACCTCTTCGCACTATGCGCTTCAGCATCCGCTGACCCCGCTCCGTCAGTTTACGTGGCCTACCACTTCGTGGCTGAGTTGCTGTCGTTCCCAAACACTTCCATTTTCTTATAATACAGCTGACAGTTGACTGTGGAATATTTAGGAGCGAGGAAATTTCACGACTGGATTTGTTGCACAGGTGGCATCCTATCACAGTTCCACGCTGGAATTCACTGAGCTCCTGAGAGCGACCCATTCTTTCACAAATGTTTGTAAAAACAGTCTGCATGCCTAGGTGCTTGAATTTATACACCTGTGGCCATGGAAGTGATTGGAACACCTGATTCCAATAATTTGGATGGGTGAGCAAATACTTTTGGCAATATAGTGTATTTTCAAACTTTGTATTAATCTATAAACAGAGTGGGTGTCTGTATTTAGGACAGTTATTAGCAAACCAAGAAAAGCAAGAAAAAAATGAAAACTTCAAGAGCAAAATTTGAATTTTAATAACAAGCCCTTCATTTCCAAAAGCTTGTCACATCCAGCTACTTGGATAAGGCTCATCAAATTAGAAAGCCTTCTTCTGGTTTGATCAGCTGAACACTGAGCTGTATAGAGTCATTTTTTATTGTTACAACTGTTCTCCAGTTCACTGTAATCTATTTGGAACTTTCTTTAATTCAAGGTTTTGCTTAAGAAAACCCCAAAGCATATTTGCTCTATACATTTTTTTAAATGAACTAGCACTGACTGCAGTACTGGGCTGCTCAGTGATGCAGTGAGTAGGTTCCGGGTTCGATTCCCAACCCGGGGTCTTTCGGCATGGAGTTTGCATGTTCTCCCTGTGCATGCTGGGGTTCTCTCCGGGTACTCTGGCTTCCTCCCACAGTCCAAAAACATGACTGGTTAATTGGCTTCTCTAAATTCTCCTTAGGTGTGAGTGTGGGCGTGAATGGTTTTTTTGTCCTGTTTGTCTCTGTGCTGCCCTGCGATGGACTGGCAACATGTCCAGGGTGTACTCCGGATGGATGGATTATGATATCCTGCGGAATATGTGCTGATCCTTCCCTGGAAAAATATTATCTGTACATAAAGGTATTTTTATCCTTATCTATTTCAATGCTTTTCATGATTTTTGACACTCTGTGGACCATAGCCTTTTTCTGTCAAATTATGAGCCAAATAAAAGGACATTCATAATAGGTAAAACATAGTAGTATTTGTGAAACATTTAAAAACATTGACTAATCAATCAAAAAGCTTACAATCTCACTTTGTGCACCAAGGAGCAATAATAACATACAATATACTGCAGATGTGGAGCCTTGGTGACAGCATGCTAGGAATTTGGTCCATCTTTGGGCACGCTCATGCTCAGGCTTTACAACAAAAGAAATTTCACTCACAACTGTTGAGCTCTCATTTGTAGCTTCCCGTTTACTGCATTTTTTTTGTGCTTGGCTTCCATGAGCCCTTGCAATATGAGTCCACTGTGATTCCTTTTCTTGTAGTTCACATGTTGCATAAGTCATGCAAGTTAGTGTGTCACCCCCTTGCTCCGCTGATATAAATAGTATCACATGGTTAATGCATTGGTGCCTTCCAGTCACTGGCGTTTCCCCCCTGCTGTTTATATCCACCAAATGGGCGTAATCGGCTCTAAGTAACAGATGATGTATTTAACTGATGTGTTTAGCGACATCTCAACATGCTCCATCCTCTCTCCACGTGGCTTCTGCGACATGAGTGAAAATGTGTCTTAATGAGAGTTCATTTAACATTAATGTGATGTGGGATTTTGTCAGCTCCCCCTCAGAGGACGCAATCAAAGCTTCTCCTGAAGGAGTTTGGTTTTAGTCAAAGCAATCATGCAACATATTTGGTCAGTCTAGCAGTGAGGGGGTCTCCTTTAGCAGCCTAAGGGTCAAAATGAAATAGTGATATTTCTATGTGATTCAGCCATAAAGAATGTGCTTCCATGTTAAGCCTCATTATGGAAGACCTCAGTCTCTCCTCATGCAGGCAAAGGCAATAATCAGAAGCTGCTCTTTAAGATTGACAGGTGAGTTTAGATCCCTGGATGCTACCAGATTCACGCAAGTCAAACACAATTTAGATGACCTCCTGAGTCAGGTCCTAATTAAGAAAGACTTGGATCGTCCCAAAGTGCCTGAGTCAAGCTAGAAGATATGGCCTATATGTAAGCGGTGTTCATGTTTATTTTATA